AAAAATGGATTTATAGATTTTTTTTGGCCTCTTTAACTGTAACATAAAATGGCTTTACAAAAATTTGAAGTTTCTAGTTCACTGACTCCTCAAAAGTCTTCAAGTACAAAGGCAACCATGAAAAAGCAATCGAATAAATGGCCAAAAAAATTCAGTATTACTCAGTACACCTTCCAAATACCTTCAAAAAGGTCTTTTTATAATGAAAAAGAAACAAGTTTCAACAAAAGTTTTTCAAACTCTCAACAAATAAAATGTAAATAAATAATTTTTAAGCCAAAACATGAGAAGGACACACACCCTACCACTGTGGAGTTCCACTCCGTAGAAGTCAAGGGTCCGAGCGATGTTGATATAGCAGGACTCGGCTTCTGACTGCTTTAGCCCACTGCAGAAGAGAAGAGAAAAAGCGGAGTTCGCCCAATAAATAGAGGATATTAACTTCAATTTTTAAAAATAAAAAAATCTAGGAAGTTTGATACCATTTCTACCAGGTGAGGAAGTGCCTCACATTATCGATCTCAGACTGACCCTGAACCCTACTGCACCAGGTTTTGCTTTTTCTGCTGAATTTGGCTCCATCTAGCCCTCTCCCTTTTCAATCAAATAGCACTTCCCCTTAGGGAGCTCTCAATAGTCACAGGGAAAAGACTGTTACCTTTCAGAATCCCTGCCCTCATTAGTCCACGTTGCTTAATTAACAGGTAATCTTAGGCCTTTCTGCCTTTATTTCTTTGGCAGTGGCCTCAAGCCCCAACCATCCCTGGCCCTGTACTATTTTCGGACCTTGACTTCTGCCCATGGAGTAATTCTGGGGGAGGCTTGGCAGAGCCTTCTTAGGAGGTACTGGTTGCTTGGCCTTTGTTTTATGGTCTTCCCAAGAAGCAGCGGTCCCTCGGGAGCTGGCCTTCTCAGTCGGGATGGCCTTTATTTGACCTGAACTGAACAGCTGCCGCCGCCGTAGTGTTGAGTAAACGAGGAAAGGGAGGAGAAGGTCAGGACTGGGCATATTTGCTGGAGCTGAGGCTCGCCCAGAGGCAGCTGAGGAAGACTGGTGCCCCCCACTCTGAAGGAAGACATTTTTCATGACCTAAACCCAGGGAGGCCCTGGGATTCAGCCTGCTGGTCAGCATTTTATGTCCATCTGTCTGTCTGGTCTAACAAGACCCGAAGGAACAGCCTGTTTTATTAAATGTAATAAGCTGCTAACAGGTTTACCTGGATGGGTCAATTTGTGGGGTAATCAGATTTCAAAATGGGCATTTCCTTCAGGAATTAACTGATTTCAATGACATCCTAGAAAGGAATGAAGCAGCCATCACCCGAAACTTTGACTGGATTTTGCACTTTACAGAGACGCTAGTTATGCCAAATATATCTGCTACCATACTGCTCAAAGGTTCAAAAACCTCCGACAGCTTGAAAGAGGATTCATGAACAAAAGAAGAGGCTGCATCAAATACCAGGGGACACGATGTCTGCAAATACCCGACCTGCGCTCCCAAAGTAGGTCACCCACACCCCTCACCTGTGCTGCTCATGCAGAGATTCCACCTTTGTTAAAAAGTCATCGCTCTGATCTGGTATAAACTGACTTTCAGAAAGATAGCCTGGATGGTGTATGGAAGGGTCGTAGTCTCCAAAATGAGCTATCAAGACAGAATGAAGGGAAAATTGTTAATTAGTTTTGCCTTTTCCATATGGTCTTTATTTACAAACACCTATAGCATCACAAGAAAAACATTAATTGGAAATACTCTTCCGGAAAGCCCTTCGCCACAGGAATGGAAGCTTGGGAGCTCCAGATGCCACACTGATCTGAACCCTTGCTGTGGGCTCCATACTGCCATACATGGCCCAATTAAATTCCCCTTTCCCCGAGGACACACAAGGAGGAAACTAGGTGTTTGAATCTAGGTCCTGTTCTAATCCCCTATCTCTTCCACACCCCGTGGTCAGCACAGCAGTGTGTGCTCAGGCCTTTGGACAGAGAAAACCCATGGCGGGGGGGCGGGGGGGAAGCCACTCTGTATGTACATCAGGCCCTGTGCTGGCTCCCTCCGTCATACCCCACGGTGACTAAGCCACTGGACCAATCTGCCCCCAAAATGGCATAGGCAGAAGGGTGGCCATCACAACTCACCCCCTGAGATTCGGGGAGGTGTGGACTGGGCTGAATTGGGGTAGGGCTGAAAGGACAGAGCCCAGGCAAGGTCAGTGGCAAGATTCTTAGGAGGAATATACATTCTAAGGTGAGCCACACACAGGAAGACAGATGTTGAGACTGTGAAGGGACCTGCAGCCGCAGCAGGAGGAGGAAGGGGGCATTAGAGAGGGACTTTCAGTCTGGCCCCTGCCCAAATGGTCCCTCTCCCTTGAGATCCTTGACTGCTGTCTGCCAATGTGAAACACTGAGGCCTCTGGTGTGTTGAGGGAACTGGGTAAAAGGACCCTGGGTGAAAACCCAAGAGTCAGGCATGTGGGAACTGAGGACATCCACATCCCTTCGCCAAGACTCAAGATTTTTCATTGGTATAAAACCAGAAGATAATTTCTACCTCTGATGGGTAACTGATCTTGTATTCCATTTTCTTGACAGACATAAAAAGCTTCTATTTCACCTTTTTCTTAAAGTGATTAGCTCTGATCTTTCCAAATGTTTTAAGGAATTTCTTCCTGTAGCTGGCTTCAAACCAGGAGGCTTCCCAGGACTTGCAGGATTATTTCAGAGTACCAACTGAACATGGAAGATTTCTAAATCAAATAACTCCTTTTATATTAGCAGGACAGAGTTTGGGGAAAGCTGTGATGATACTCTGTAGCCAAACCAAGAAGAAAATGGGGTGAGCCATTGAGTTCAAGCTACTTGAGTGAACTTCAGCCAAAGTCAAGAGGACAGATGCTAGGTCATTGCTTTCTTTATCTCTGCACAGCCTCGCCTCCCCTAGCTCACCCTCAGTGGCCTTCACACCTCACGGGCTGTTCTTTAAGATCTGCATGGTAATGAAAGGATCCATTTTCTCTGTACACCGTGCCTTGAGGGCTGCAAGTTGGGGAGACTCACTATGTGGGCCCTGCATCAGGCCTGGCACACAGTAGGTGCTTGGGACTTGGCTGCTCTGATCTGTATAGAGGCTGATGCAAAGTTTAATTCTGGAAGGAGAAAAGGGGCAGAAAGCCAAGTGATGCAGGCACACAGGCTGACTAAGGTTAGACCACAGGCTAGTAAGGCCAGCCAAACACGACCGAGTTGTGGATGGAAATGTGAAGGATGTATGTCAAGCATGGACATGGCCAGTGAGTTTGTACAGGGTAAGGGCACAGTTACAGATGTCTTTAGATGCCGTGGCACAGGTACCCAATGAGGAAGCATAAGAAAGCGTTAGAATCACCTTGTTCAAACTCCTCACGTTAAAGGGGAAGGGAAGAAACTAGGTCCAGAGAAGGGACTCACCCTACAACAGGGTCAAGATCAGGACCCAGGTGATCTGAGCCCCAGTTAGAGCTCCTATCAGGCCTGTAAGCTGCTGCTGGCCATCTGCTGATGATATGGTCATGTCCTCAAAGGTCAACTAAATGCTGTACATGACATTCCTGGGTCCCAAAGCAAAATCCCATAAAATTTTGCTCTGTTCGTTTTATCAGTTCACAGAGAGACTCCTGGATCCTGATGCGGGTATCCATCACGTTAGCCAATAGCCCCAACCCTCATGCCATTCTGCAAACATGCACAGCAAGGGTCTTCCTTCAGTCAAGTCACTGTGGACTTTAAAACACTGAGCAATGGACCTCCCTTGTCAGGTGATTTTCCCCTGAAACCTTAGGCAGCGATTCTGTGCAAAGCTCGTGCTGACCACCAGGGGGAAACAAAGCTAAACGGTCATACACAACATACGCAAAACCCTGGGCGGTTTGCAGGATGATTTCAATGGCATCACCCCACCTGATGCTCATGGTAACCCAGCGGCAGACAATGCTTCTTATCCCCATTAAACAGACAAGGAAACTGAGAGTCAAAGAAGGGGCCCTGCCACTGTTGCTCAGCGGCTAATCTGGAGCACTACACTCCGACCACAGCCCCTACACTTACCTACTACTGAGTAACACATTTTCCTACTTGTGGGGAAGCAACACGTGGAAAAACTAATTAACTACAGTAGAGAGAGAAGTGAGTGCTTCTATGGGAAATACCTTATCTTTAAAGTCCCATGCTTCGTTCTGGCTGCTAATATTTGCGAAGACAGTATCCCCCAGGTTCCCGACCTGTGGCGTTTCAAGCTGTCAGGTTGTTCTACTGGGAAAGTCCTTCACCTGCTGTTCATCCAACTTCAACATGACCTGTCTGTCCAGCCTCCCTCCCCTCCCCCATGCAGGACAGAGGGTGTCCTCTTAGCAGTCATCCTCAGTGCTAGCACCACCCACATCTGCCTCCCCACCCAGCTGCAGACTCCTCAGGGAGAGCAGTGAGTCTTATCTGTCTGTGCGCTCTGAGGTTCGTGCAGAACTTGCATGTGGCACAGGCCTGGAGATTATTATGGAATAAATATGCATTTCAAAAAACTTCTTTTATTTCTACTGAAGACATTTTGTACTTTTTAGGTGCTCATAACTTCTTTAGCCTCTATTTTCTTAGTCCTTTGTAGAGGAGAACCTATTAAAACTTGGAACAGGATTTTTACTTGGTTCTTAAATTTTATTCTAAGTGAAACTTATTGCTTACAATAGGCAATTATTTAGGCAGCTGTCTTATGATTGGGCATGAAAATACAGTAAGAGTCCACACCTGCAGGTTGGGGGGTGCATGATGAGAAATTATTTTGTGAGTACCGTATACATTATTTGGGTGATGGATATCCTAAAGTCATGACTTAATCACTATGCAATGTGTGCATGCAACAAAGTCACACTTGTACCATAAATTTATGTAAATAATAAAATACAACCTTGCCATGAGTCATATACATTTCTAAGGGCTGCATACGTAGTAACTAACTCACTTCCTTTCACTACAACCCTAGAGCGGATGCTGTTACTACTTTTTACACTTGACAGTTAAGGAAGTTGAGGCTTAGACAGGCTCAAGGTCACACAGGTGTGATTGGAAGCGGCAAGACCCAGCTAACATGGTTGCGGTCTGGTGCTCTGACTCAGTGATGGCCCAACGACAAAGCATCTTTCGTTACAGATCACCTTTACACGTATTGCTTCATTTGAACCAAGCGGCCATACTGAGAGCTGTCACAATCTTTACTGTCGCTTCTATTTTATAGTCGAGAAAACCAAGAGTCTCTGCATGTAAGTGGCAAATGGAGATGCCAGGATTTAAATCGGATGTGCCTGCATCCATTCCAGTTAGCATTCCTGTCTCTCAAACTGGAAGCCCTAGTGGTGAACACCAAACTTGCTCTGAGATAGGGAAGAGCTCAGTCGCCTCAGCTGACTGGCCTGGCTGAGATGGAGGCCACCACGTCTACACATCAACAAGAACACGAGCTGACTGGTGACGCATGGCTGGGCCTGCTCCAGAGGTACTGTAGGGAGGAAGGGAACTTCAAATCCACCCAGGCCCATCCCCATCGATGTGCAATCTCTTTGAGTTTCCCCTCAGGGAGGAGGAGCAGGTTCAGTGGAGAGAGTAACACTGAGTCTGGTCCTATTCATGAAGAGGATCCCTGACGATCAAATCAGGCAGTCATCTTTGACAACCTCTGTCCTCCATGCAGGTGGACAGGTAAGCTGCAGGCCCAGCCACCTTGCTCTCCACCTCTCTGATTTGTTTTTTTGCTGGTAGGGGATTAGGCAGGCTCAGGGTCACGTCAGCAGTCCCTGCCAGCCTTCTCCTGGGGGAGACCAGAGGGTGAGCAGTTCAGTGATGTTTGCTCTGAGACCTGACTATCTCGTGCCCTTATCTGTATACCATGCAGTCAGACAAGAGGGTAACAGGCCAAGATGGCTTTGGGCTTACCGGAAGGTTAGAGAGGCTTTCAGGTTAGAGAGTCTCAAGCCAGCGTACTGTAACAGTACCACACAGCAAATCAGCTATCAAGTGACTTGTCACCTTCCATCTGGCTGTGGACCCTTTCTTTTCATGGTGCATACCTACCATCTACCACAGGAGCTGACAGGGAATATATGCTCAGTAAAGTTTCACTAACTGAATGAGTAGATTTGTACTCCAACTTAGCCCTGATGAAAAAATTCCTATCTGGACTTCCTATCCAACATGGTAGCCACTAGCCACGTGTGGTTAGTCCAAATTATGATGTGCTGTAAGTGTAAAATCCAGACTGGTTTTCAAAGACTTAATAGGTAAAAATATATGAAATATCTTGTTCGTAATTTTTTTTGCATTATATTAAAATGATAATATTTTGGATATATTGGGGTTAAATAAAACATTAAAAATTAATGCCATGATTCGTTTTACTTCTTTTTCATGTGGGTACCAGAAAACCTAGAATTACAAATGTGGCTCACATTATATGTCTATGGGACAGCACTGTTAGAGACCAATATATTATATTCCATTAGCAATACTAAAGCTCTAAATTCCTAAGGTCCTGGCAGTGTCTCAGAATGGCACTAAGCAAGTAGCAGGAGTGACTTCCAGTGAATTTCTTGACCTAGCTGGGTCTCAGTTTTCATTTTTGTAAGAGGTGACTGGTACAAATATTTGCCCCACTGGGGTCTGTATGGAGGTCAAATCCGAATACCTGAGCAAAGGCTCTGGAAAATGCGACCTGTGGTAGCTGCCTAGTGTCTGATAGGCTCCCTTGGGGGAAAACCCCACCACAGCTCATCCACTCCCTTCCCCGGAACCACCTTCTCTAATCCACCATCCCTGTGCTGGAGGACAGCGTAATCTGGGTAAAAGCAGGACTGTCCAAACAGCCGGAGATGCCCCGCCCTGCAGGATTCCTGGGAAAGAAGGATTTCGTCAAACAGGAGAAACCGGTGACTTTCTCAACACATAGGTCAGAACAATCTGTCCTCCCGCGAAACTCCCCCTTCATGACTTACATTGTACTGCATAGGATGCCAGAACCACTGCTGAGTTAAGAGGGCAGGTTAACCTGTCAGGAGAGAGACACATTAACACAGTCACAAGAACCGACAACAGACAAACGCTCATAGGTCACGGGTAGCACCTGTCTTTCTTTTCTGGGATTGACCATTAACAAGCAATTTGAATCCTCACAAAACAACTTTATAATGTACATCAATCTCAAACAGCAAATACAGATGGGAACATATTAAGGATTTTAAGAAATAGCTTTTTCGTGTTTAAAATAATACACACCATAAATACCATAGAGCTATAAGGTCTAAAGTGGGCCAGTCTTTTGGCTGATCAAGAAAGGTCAGGTTCATATCTCTAACAGGGAAAAAAAGCGAGGAAACTGTACTCTTAGATCAATGGGCAGCCTTCAAATATTTCTAGTAAAGACGTGAGACTCTTCAAAGTGCTCTCTAACTAAATTCCTGAGTTCTAGCGACTGTGACTCTGGATTACCCTCTTTCTAGATTGTAACATCCTCTTAGAAGGGAAAAGTAGAAGAGTATTTTGGATTTTAAAACTTGCCATGACTTGGCGCCCATAGCACAATGGTTACAGCACCAGCCACATACACTGAGGGTGACAGGTTTGAACTTGGCCCTGGGCCAGCTACAACTGCAACAAAAAAATAGCTGGGTGTTGTGATAGGCACCTGTATTCCCAGCTACCTGGGAGGCTGAGGCAAGAGAATCAGTTAAGCCCAAGAGTTTGAGGTTGCTGTGAGCTGTGACGCCACAGCACTTTACCAAGGCACTGTCACCGAAGGTGACAGTGAGACACTGCCTCAAACACCCCCCCCCCAACTAAGATTCCCACATCTATTTACTCTCTGCAGTGCTACAGGGTTCAGGGGTCTGTCTCCATCTCCCAGTCCTCCTGCCACCTACTAGAAATCCTCAACTTGGGATAGACCAGTTTTTCTTTCCTCTTCAGTTCTCGGCCCTCTCAAACGCCCCACTTCTCCAATGACTACCCCTCCGTCTTGGTCATATTTGAAACTTCTGACTGCTCCCTTTTCTGCACTCAACTGCAGACTCCATGGTCTGCCCGGGAACTTGCTCATCACAGGACAGGGACCAGCGCCAGACAAGCAGAGTGGGTTGGGGAGGGACAGCAGTAAGGGCTTGCAGGGCGGAGAGAGGTCTGACAAATGGTGCTATCCTTAACAGTGACACAGGAAGACACTGGGATTTTCAAAGCATTCTTCCCAGCAACCCAGTGGGGAAGTGGAGAAAATGTGCGGTTTCCATGGCAGCCTGTGCAGCTCCCGACCTGCTGGCCCTCCAGGGTTCCCCTTCCTGGGCACTGTACTGTGTGCTGGTCTTGCAGGTGTACACTGAAGGTGACTTTTCCCACCTGAGGAGCCCCCCACCTTTGCTCAAGTAACTCTGGGTAAAAGCAGGACTGTTCAAACAGCCAGAGATACCCTGCCCTGCAGGATTCCTGGGAAACAGGAGAAACTGGTGACTTTTTCAATACATAGGTCAGAACAACCGGTCAGAACTTCAGAATGCTCTCACCAAGTCTGCAGATGTGTCCCAGGGATACTCACTGCCTACTCGTTGATCTGGAGAGCCAGAGTGCCCTCAGAGACCGCAGGCAGGAGAAGGAGGGTATCAGCCACTCACTCTCCTAGCAAGATGACTTCAACTAAATCTAGGCCAGTGTCCTTGCTAGAGGAAGAGCAGGTGAATGAGATTTGGAGAGCAACTGGGAAAGTAGCTAAAGAAATACCATCTACATCAGCTGTTTTCCTTTTTTTTTTTTTCAGACAGTCTCACGCTGTTGCCTTTGGCAGAGTGCCAGGGTGTCATCATAGCTCATAGCAATCTCCAACCCTTGGGGTCAAGTGATCCTCCTGTCTCACTTTTCTATTTCTCCTTTTTCTATTTTTAGTAAAGACGGGGTCTCACTCTTGCTCAGGCTGGTCTTGAACTCATGAGCTTAAGCAATCCACCTGCCTCGGCCTTCCAGAGTGCTAGGATTACAGACAAAATAGATAAGTGTTTTGCCATCTTTATGGCACACTTGAACCTATAAACTCCTGTGGCACACTTAAATTATGTTGATAAAAAAAAGAGCAATGTAAAACAATACACTTATTGTGCTTTGAACTTCATTTGAAAATAATTTAATTAACGGTCTTTGAAAATGTTTGCGGCACACCTAAGATCCTTTCACAGCATACCAGTGTGCTGTGGCACACTGCTTAAAAAATCACTGATCTAGATGAAAGAAATAACCCGCCCCCCCCAAATCAGAAAACATCTCTCCAAAGAATGGTGTTCAAAATCCATACTAAAGAACACTAAAAGCCTGCATTCTTTTTTGGGGGGCGGGGGGCACAGAGTCTCACTATGTTGTCCTTGGTAGAGTGCCGCGCTGTCACAGCTCACAGCAACCTCAAACTCCTGGGCTCAAGCGATTCTCTTGCCTCAGCCTCCCAAGTAGCTGGTACTACAGGTGC